ACAAACAAATAACATCCAACAACAAACAAGTTAAAATTAGTGCATAAAAACAATTACTGATAAAGTAACTTTTCACCTCAGATTTGAATAGGCCTATTGAGGTGATCCTTTTTATGGTTGTTAAAAATTGCAGGTCCTAAAATACATGGTGATCTGCTGCCTAACTTATGACGCGCAAAAGGTATATGGATGTCGTTTTGTTTGCGAGTGCCCATTTGAAGTATATGACTATTCAAGGTGAAATCATCTGCAACTATAAGTGCTGCTTACTCCCGCCATACACCTCACAAGTCGTTTTTGACTTAAGAATACCGTAGAAGCGTTCACCGATGAACCCCAGAAGCACAAAGTACATACAGCATGCGAGACTCAACCTGGAAATGATACATCAATAGCTGATCCTCTGCGAAAACAGATCTCAGGTTCTTGAACAAATATGCTTGTGAATTCAGTTTTGATGACCGATAATCGCAAAGTCTTTTAGACATTGGTCTAAGTGGAGCCCTAAAAACTTAGCGCTTTTATCACTCTGCAGTGCTGAATCGTTTAGAACAAGCTGAATGGCTGTTATCGACTTCTGGACGTTATGGAACCTTATAACTGTGGTCTTCCACAGGTGTTCCCATTTATTTATTAAATCAGCCTCGTCTTTGTTTGATATAATGATGGAGGCATCGTCTGCATACAACGTGAAATGTGAAACATTGCTCCAGGTTATTTATATAAAGAGAAAACAGCACTGGTCCCAATATAGATCCTTGTGGTACGCCTATATTTACGTTAATTAATTAAAGAAATTCGGAACTTCATCGGTGCCTGAAGAACGCTTGTTTTTTAACTTATCATTAATTAGTTTATATAATTCTCATTTCTACTCTAATGAATCACCAACTTCTAAAAACGCCTGTCTCATCATTTCCCAAGGTTTCTTCTTTTGGGGCATCCGGTATGATGCTTCAGTTGCAGCCTTACTGTTGTCGATTGTTTTTAAAAACATTGACTGTTGTCCAATTAACTCATTTTTTAATTGTTCCAGTTTTTCCATTCTGGTTGCAGAACGTAATGGGAATGATTTTTCAAAATTCGAATGTACGGTTTGATAGTGCCTCTCTATATTCTCTTTTTCAGCAACGGAAACATACATTTTTACCTTTAACTTCTGTAAAGAAATGTTGCTCTTCCCATTCCGAATATAAATGGTATATAATGTTTTTAATTGCAAGCCAACTCTAACCCAACGGCCGGACTTTGTGGCGTCGTTCAGTTTTAAACTGAGCGCGCTATCGCCTTGCGTACTTATTCCGTTCAAAGTAATCAAGATCGTCCTCGAACAGATCGCTCACCGCGGTGTTGCCGCTGCTTGTGTTTATTATGAGAGTTTACAAAACACCTTCTATGATTTTTACACCTTCTTAAAATATGTTGTGATCCACCAGAATTGCCTTTGCGAGAGAGTCAATCTACTTGACGACATTTTTTATTATAAGTAAATTGAACTACTCAAATGTCTCTTGGTCAAGGTATGCCTAACCGGTCAAAATGCTATTGTTGCCTTACGAATTAGTCATGGGTCGGTTCTTCTATTTACGGCAGTAGATACGAGTCTCGAGTCCCAGACTTTTCAAACGACTAATGTCCTGCGACAGGTGGTAAGCATTTTTACCGCAACGTTGATGCACCTGTTCGATTAATCAAAACCATAATGCTTCTTTTCGGTACAATTCCGAAGGTAATGAAGGAGAACTAACATTCTGATGCGGTCTCCCGTACAAAGAAATCTTTATGATGATCGAGGAAATTCAGGGATCTGATTTGATCACGGAAGGGGAGAGGCTGATCCGAAAACAGCGGTAACATTCTTAGGACAGAAAGAAGAAATAACAGGATCCGCTTATACGGGTTGTCCCAAAAGTATGAATACATCCAATCAATCTCGGTAACAAAGAGTGCTAGAAAAAACATATTAGAAAATCAAATGGCACATGTAGTACTGACCTTGGACTTGACGTTGACATTCGCCTTAAAGGTTATTGATTTTTTCAAACGGATACCCCCATTTTTTATTACAGAAATTGAAAGCGAACAATCCTTTTTAGCGGTACAATATCATAGGGGCTAATATTACATATAGAGGTTATTTCAAGGCCAAAGAAGAATATTAAAGGATAACAATTAATGCGAACATTGCCGGACACTCAGCGGCACATCTGATGTTGACCTTCACTCTGACCTTGGCTTTGACCTTGATGGTCAATTCAAGGTCAACTTGTTTTTTACGTGGAAACCCTCAATTTAGATCCCAGCTTTGAAAGTTGAGAAACACTTCGTGTTCAAAGGCTTAATAAACGGATGCAAAATAACACCTAGTTACTATTTGAAGGTCAACAGGTCGAGACGTGTCAACACGGTTGTCGGCTCTCGGAAGTCACTGAAAATGTCCACACCTGTCATCTGTTGTCATTTGTCTGACTTCCGGACTGGTACTCGTACCGTAAGCTGTGCAAATGTTCACCGATCCAGTAAAAGATAAAAACAAGGCACCGTTTAAAATGACAGGTGAACCATCATCTTAAATTTTATGACCCGTAATTGCGGTTAGATGAGATTACGCAGCTGGAAGAGTCGAAGCAACGATCGATTAAGAGATCGAGATTGCGGCGGTTGACATGCTGTTTGAGGAGAAATAAGAAAGATGTTAATAATGAGACAGTTGTCCGTTTTCTTTCAAAACTTTTAACTATTTTATGTAAATAAGCCTTCCACATACATCATGATATTATTGCTGACTTTTTGTTGCTTTTTTTGGCATGTTGGTTTGTCTCTATTTAGAAATGCTTGATGTGAGTAGCTTATATTTCATTTTCAACAATAGTTCGTTTAGTGCACTTTAGTCCTCCCAAGTTTCGGGTGCTTCATATTGTTTACACACAATATCCTGCCTCCAAAAGGAAACTTTGAAAGTTATCACTTTCTTATGAATAAAAAGTGTCAACAACTGCTACTTAACACTCAAGGAAAGTTTCTTTATAAAATTCTGGTCACTCTACAATGTGACAATCTTTGATCTGGAATGTATAATTTGAGATTCAAAATATGGTCTTGTTCTGTCATACCCAAAATTCAAAACATTCAAGGCACATTACAGATGATAAGAAGGAGCTTGCATCAATAATATAAATATTGAGCTTTGAATATGTTATTTTTTGAGCAGCAAAATACTCTCTTCTGATGCATATTGGTTTTTTGTTACAGGTAAGCCCTTTGGTGACGTGCAAATCGACAATACAACCTGGAAAAGGTATTGTATGATCTTATTGCAATCTAATAGCGGTTTTCCACTAAACGGACAAAACACAAACCCTCGTCAAACAAAACAAAACTGTAGCTTTTGGGACAGCTAGAGTATTGTTTTTCGAAAGCTGTCACATCAAAATATTTCGACATGTTTGAAACCCGAGTCCGTTTAGTGAAAACGATCGTGTTGTGTTTTCTATGTTCGCCTTGCTAGTCTGAATATGAATTTTATACCAAACTATTAGATAAGTAAATAAAGTATATTTTATAGATAAGAAATTTGTTTTGAGCAGCTGGATAAATATATAAGTACACTAAGCTGTGGAATGTGCTTTACATAAATATGCTAGGAATGTCCCTTTTTATTAATTGTGACCCGTAACACGAACACTACAAGTATTACAAGTAATTTGCCATATCTACAAGTCTCACTTAATTCCGTAACGAAACAACAACATACTTGTAATTAGAAGTGAAAGAAATGAGCAACCTATTACAATAATTATTATAAAACAATTTTGAAAAAAATTTGTTGCAGCATAGTTTGGATATATTTTGTGATTGAGTGACTTGTGATCCAGCTGCCTATGAATTAAATCACAAGCATTTTCAGTGCGCTGTTGAAGTTCTTCCAGGGCATTTACGCCTTCATCATGATACACAAACTTTTTCAAATAGCCCCACAGAAAAAAATCGCAAGGCGTTAAATGCGGGGAGCGAGCAGGCCAAGAAATGGGTCCATCGCGCCCTATCCATCTATTCGGAAACTCATTATTTAGATCATTGAATCCCAAAGTGGTCTATATCGACCCCTAGGGGTCTATGACAACCTACGTCAGCGAACAAAAATTTGGGGGTCCATGAAATGAATATGGGGGTCCACGATAGTGGATCTCAACACATACACTGATAGTACCTATTTACTTACATCATACTATCTTATAATATCAAAACATATACATTATTTATAAAAGTACCTATGAAGTAAAAAAATTATTATATATGTTTATAAAATTGGGTAAGTTATAGGATGTTGGTATTCGCTTTGTGATCGCAATACATTTTGAACTTGTAAAAACCTGAGAGTCGCAGTCTCAGAGCTTCGCTACCTTGCACTGACTTGTTCAATTCGTCACTATAAATACGAATGTGGGACAAATACGTTTATTCGTTTCCTGAATATTGAAAGGGAAAGTACTAAGAAAATATTTAAAAAATATAAACGGATAGTATATCACACAAATTATAGTGAGTCAGTGTTATTTTGTTTGAGAGTGCCGGAAAAAAGTAAGTACATTATTTTTTATTAAATTTTAGTTTTGTACTAGAAGTTAGCAAAGATAGATAAACTACGCCAATCACGACTTTAGTTATTAGTAGTTAAATATTCAATCATGCAAAATTACACGAGTACTCCTCAATAGTTTCTTTTTGAAAGTTTTAGCAATCGGTAATATAATTACAGTGCAATCTCCGCAATTCGAGCTAATTGTTGCAAGAAGATGTTTAAATTATGGAATGTTTTTGGGAAAAATCAAAAAGTATTTTTAATATACAGCTGCTGGATTTTCTGTCTTATTTAAATAATTTAATTTTGGCCACAGATGACTGATGCCATGTCCGAATCTAAAAAGAAATGTAGACAGTACAGTGTTGATTATTTGAAATTTCTCTTCATTTCATCATTGCCGGAAAAACAATCGCCTATGTGCCTTTTATGCAACAAAGTTTTGGGCAATGACGCAGTGAAACCATCTAAACTGCAAGATCATCTGAGAAGGTGCCACCCTGATAAAACAGAGAAAGATTTGAAATACTTTCAAACACTCAAAGATAAATTTCAGAAGAGGCCTACACTGGACAGAATGTTCGCTTCGACGTCACAAAGAAATGATGATGGGTTGCGGGCGTCTTACAATAACTCGTTACTTATAGCAAAATCCGGAAACCGCATACTATCGGAGAAAAGTTAATTTTGCCAGCCGTTGAAGAGGTTTTAAAAACTGTTTTACACAAACCTGCATCTGATATCATTAAAAGAATTCCCTAATTATTTGCAAACGACCCATTTCTCTATACAACTGGACGAGTCAACTTTACCTGATAATGCAGCATTATTATTGGCATATGTTCGTTTTATTATGAACCAAGAAATCTACGAAGGACTGCTCTTCGCAAGAACTTTGATAACCGACACTAAAGGTGAATCAATATTTCATGTTTTGAAGGATTACTTCATTGAAAAAGCAATTCCTTTATCAAATATAATATCAGTAGCTACAGATGGAGCACCTGCCATGGTTGGACGTTATCGTGGATTTATAAGCTATTTAAAACAAAATGTGTCAGGGGTGTTAGCAATACATTGCGTCATCCATCGACAACATTTAGTTGCTAAAAATTTGAGTGTTAGATTGCATGAATCACTTCATTTAGTCATTGATGCAGTAAACCGAATCCGAAGCAACGCGTTGAATACGCGGTTATTTGCGCAGTTGTGTGAAGAAAATGACGAACACTTTCATCAATTACTCTCTCACACTGAAGTACGCTGGCTGTCGAAAGGCTTATGTTTGACAAGATTTTTTGCACTTTTTGAGACTATTTTAGAATTTCTGGATACTAATGATAAAATTTAATGAAGAGGAAAACACGCTTATTTAACAGATTTGTTTACAAAATTTAATATGGTTAATTTGCAATTACAAGGCGACAGTCTAAATTTGATTAAAACAAAGTCCATCTTATCAGCGTTTCTTGCCAGAGTTAAACTAATGAAGCAAAATATTGGACGGGGCGAATTTTCTCAGTTCTCCAATTTGTCACAAGCATCCAGGAAGACGACGTTTCAACTTACGTTCAACATTTAAATGCCCTCTATTCAGATTTTGAATCTAGGTTTGAGGATATTTTGACTATGGTAATACCACCGTGGATAATTAATGCATATGGTGACATAGAAGAAACGAATGTCATAATACAAGAGGAACTGACTGAACTAAGTACAAACGACGAACTTAAGGTTCAGTTTAAAAACGGATATCAGCAATTCTGGCTGCAAAACAACATACCCGTTACTTATCACGTATTATGGAATATAGCGAGGAAATTTTTAATTTCCTTTCCATCGTCGTACCTAGTGGAAAGGGGGTTCAGCGCTGTTACCAATCTCCTAACGAAAAAAAGAAACAGACTGGACACCATTAGCCGAGGAGATTTGAGATTAACCCTTACAAAATTGACGCCAAATGTTGATAATTTATTATTAAAGCATCAGGTTCATCCTTCTCACTAAAAATATTGACTTATTGCTTATGTTATTTTATTTATAGTTTATTTTATGTTTATTGGTGTCTGGCCAATAAATTGATTTTTTTAAAGAACCCCCGTTTATAGAAAATATTTTTTTTAAAATTATTCTGAAAATTCAAGGATAGGTACACACTAAAATTCCTTAATTTTTTGCCTATTTTTAGATAACTTAAACGTATAAGAAGCGGAATTTAATTAAACTAACAGTGAAATTATTGTAGAACATACGTTTATGTTATAATTAATAAACGAACTCGCTTATTGTACTATTTTAAGTAAAAAACTTTTTTTTTTATTATTTTTCACTTTTTTTTTATTTTATCCCTCTTATTTTTTTTCAATGCGGGCACTTATTCCCAGTGGTCTTATTGGTCAGATACCTGTTTATTTAATGTTACGTACAAAATTTTATTTTGAGTAGTTTTAATTTAAATTCAATTAATAGATGTATAAATTAACATGTGTTTTTACTTTAAGTTTTTAACACTAAACTTCACTACAGTTAGAAATTTACAGGAAATCAATATCAGGTAAGTAGGGGGTCTACCCAACAGGGAAAAACATGGCAAGGGGTCTACGACACAAAAAAGTTTGGGGAACTCTGCTTTGAAGGGATGTTTGGTTTGTGTTGAAAACAATGCTTTATTAGGATATCTCTTTTAGGGTCTAAAGAATGCGAATATACCTTTTTGTGTTTACTGAGTCATAGCATCATCAAATTATGATACATCTGTTCTATAAGAGCATACAAGATCTAGAAGCTGTCCTTCCACAACATTAAGAACTGACCGACATGTGTTCATCGCTGTTCGCATAGCGCTTAAAGTGGAAGAAACGTTCCTCGCGAATAAACCATCTGTGGTGGGAATTATTTAACATCTGCCAGGCACAAAGACGGTCTCATTGTCGATATGTTTCCTAGGCATAGACATAGCGTTTATACGTTGCTCTTATTTATCCTCCACATTCCTTGCCTTGAAAGGCACCGAAGAAAGTTATAAGTACGCCGTGAAGGCGCAATAAAAGAAGTAACGCAAGAACTATGCTGTTTGGTCTTTATTTACTGGTCGCTAGCCGTTTCAGGATACGATTTAACGTCGGACTGTTTCCAGAGGCGTCTCGAAATTACTCTTTTAGGATAGTCCGAAGATAAAAAAAATGCACGGAAAAATGTCCAAGATCAAAAATTGAGACTCTGGCAGCCCCAAACTATGTTAAATAACATGACATCCGTATACTATACTATATAATGGGTGATTTTTTTGCTAGTATCTTTTTGGCAACACTGTTTTTGACAGATGACGCGTGAATCGTGTCTTGTGTCATTGTCAAACTTGTTCAGTTTTGTCTATAATTTCACCATGAATCGACTTACGAACGAACAACGCTTGCAAATTATTGAATTTTACTATCAAAATTCATGCTCGGTTAAGAGAGTGCATCGAGCACTGCTTCCAATTTATGGGCAATTTGGTCGGCCTACTGAGGGAGCTATTCGGAAGCTTGTGACTAAATTTCGAACCCAGTTTACATTATTGGACATTAAACCATCAATACGCAGACGTAGAGTGGGGACTGAAGAAAATATTGCGGCTGTATCCGCCAGTGTTAGTGATGACCTTGAAATGTCGATTCGCCGCCGTTCGCAGCAATTGGGCGTCTGTTAATCCACTATGAGGAAAATTTTGGTACACAACGTTTCCAATTTGGTGAATGGGCGCTGGCAAAGTTGGAGGAAGATCCACATTTTTATCGAAAAATTGTGTTCAGCGACGAAGCTCATTTCTGGTTGAATAGGTACGTTAACAAGCAAAATTGCCGCATCTGGAGTGAAGACCAGGCCAGAAGCATTGCAAGAGCTACCAATGCATCCCGAAAAAATCACTGTTTGGTGTGGATTATGGGCCGGTGGCATCATCGGGCCGTACTTCTTCAAAGTCGACAATGGCCGGAACGTAACTGTGAATGGCGAGCGCTACCGTGCGATGATAACAAACTTTTTTTTTTGCCCAAAATGGAAGAGCTGGACTTGGCTGACATGTGGTTTCAACAAGACGGTGCCACATGCCACACGGCACACGAAACAATGGCCCTATTGAGAGGCGAGTTCGGTGAACAGTTTATCTCACTTTTGGGGCCCGTCAATTGGCCGCCTAGATCGTGTCATTTAACGCCGTTGGACTATTTCTTGTGGGGCTATGGTAAGGGTAATGTCTACAGGGATAAACCAGCAACGATTGACGCACTGGAAGCCAATATTGAAGCAATTATTCGTGAGATACCGGCCGATATGTTGGAGAGAGTGTGCCAAAATTGGACCTTGCGCATGGGTCATCTAAAGCGGAGCCGCGGCCAACATTTACATGAAATAATCTTTAAACATTAAATTATATCGACCGTTCTATCGACTCAAATAAAGATTTAATCGTTTTTTTCAAATTGTTTGTGTTTTTTTTTTGAAAATCATATGCTATACATCTTAAAAAATCACCCGTTAAAATATCGAGATTTGAATTTTAAGTTTTTCATAAAACGCAAAACATTCATTGTGATCAACACCAAAGAAATAAATTAGTGACATAATATCGGAAATAACTCCTGATGCATCTCAAATTAGTTCTGATGAAGGAAGGACCTTTTTATAGACCGAAGCATGATATCCATTTTCTTTCATTAAACATCAATATTCATGAGAGGCAGTAGCACTTGATGCAGCTGATATATTTTATGAGTTCTATATCATTTACATACATATTTTAATGCTACTCACTCACGAAGTCCTTGATGACTTAATTATCGCTCTAGAGGTGCCATCCTAATCATCATAATATACTAAGTGACATATAAATCCGAACACCCAGTTTAAATGGTTTTATTTTAATAAAATTTTGTATAAGTACTTAATGAAGCATAATAAGTAAATGATAAAAATTTCAAAATGATTGCACTGCTTTAAAGCCCTTTGACCTTTAATAATGTGTGGATGCACCCTGATGTGCTACGCATTCTCCAACGCACCTAGGCATGCTTCTGATCAGGTGGTCAATGTCCTCCTGTGGTATCTCATTCCAGGCAACCACCAACTCCTCTCGAAGTGCTTCTAGAGTCTGAGGAGGACGTTGCGAATTGAGCAATTTCCTACCCATCATATCCCACACGTGCTCAATTGGGGATAAGTCGGGAGATCTTGGTGGCCATGGTAACAATGTGACATCATTATGTTGAAAGAAGTCTATTGTGACTCTTGCAACATGTGGTCGGGCATTATCTTGTTGGAAAGTTGGATCTGCCAGGGTGTCAAGATAGGGTAAAAGATGGGGTTCTAGAACTTCGTGGATATAACGCTGCGCGTTCATGTTACCTCTGATGAAGATTAAAGGTGACCTGGAACCATAATCTATAGCACGCCAAACCATAACTCCAACAGTGTGATGGACATGTCTTTCAACAAAAAACTGTGGATTCCTCCTTTCACCACGTCGCCTTCTAACCCTGGCACGACCATCATGCATGCCTAAACAAAAGACTAAAAACTAAAGACAATACTGTTCCATTCCTGATCCCAGAGTGACCGTTGTCTGCACCACTCAAGGCGATTACGTCGGTGTTCTCGAGTTAAAGGGAGGACCTAGTGTGGCCGGTATGAAATCAAGCCAAAACTTCTCATTCGTCGGTAAACACTTCGCATGCTAATAGGTCTTCCGTGTTCTGCAAACCATTCATTTGCAATGGACCTGGTAGTGGAGAAACGATCTCTTAAGACCAATAATCTTAGGCGCTGATCTTCACGGTCTGTTGTTCTACGGCGGCGTCCAGTGCCCCTTGCTCTTTGCGTACGGCCTTCTCGAAGCCATGCCTGACAACACCTAACCACAGTGTCTACACTTCTTTGCACACTAACTGCAATTGCCCGAAAAGAAAGTCCAGCTTCCCGAAGTCCCACTATACGGCCCCTATCAAACTCACTAAGTTGACGAAATCGTACAGGTCTCCGTACTCTAGGCATCGTAACAGATCGTAAAGGATGTCAAGAACCAAAATCCGCCAACGTTGATTCTTTACTGCGGCTGAAATATTCATTTTTAGAGCGTTAGTGAATTAAAAAAAGCAGTATAAAAACCGGAATGTCCAACTGATAAGGCTGAAAATTTTTTCACTTGTTATTTACAGTAAGATAGATACATTCACCAACTTTTATTAAAATAAAACCATTTTAACTGGGTGTTCGGATTTATATGTCACTTAGTATATATATACCACCAATTTGCTGATTCACTTCGACAAATAAAATTAACGCAAGCTCAATTGAAATTTATGATCTGTAACTTTCTCCATAGTTTTACTATGAGATGTTATGTTTTTTTGGTTCTTATGTGACATGCACCAATCACTCTACAAAAGCCTTCATTTTCTGAAGACCGTTAGCTATTTCCAGGAGACAGAAAGGTGACGACGAATTCGTTTTCAAAAGATAAACTAAAGCTAATGACCGTTATTGCTATACTACAACTATTTAAAACTGTAATGACTCATACGCGTGATCAACACGTGATCAGAGCTCGATCCCGGCTTCCTTCCAGTACAGCCGTATAGCGTACGACATATGTCGTTGCTGTGGCTTTGCGGTGGTCAACAGCACAGACAGAGATGGAAATAATGGCTGATTGTTCTCCGCCGGTAGAACCAATGAAATTAAAGACGCGCCTCGACCGGCAGACTCATAGGCGTCGGCAACGCATTGGAACGTGTTTCGTTGAGCGATCGCATATTGTG